ACCGGGAACCGGGGAACGGGAACGGACCGGGAAAAACCGGAACCGGGAACCGGGGAACGGGAACGGACTGGGAAAATCCGGCACCGGGAACCGGGGAACGGGAACGGAGCGGGAAAATCCGGTACCGGGAACCGGGGAACGGGAACGGACCGGGAAAATCCGGTACCAGGAACCGGGGAACGGGAACGGAGCGGGAAAACCGGAACCGGGAACTGGGAAACGGGAACGGAGCGGGAAAACCGGAAACGGGAACCGGGGAACGGGAGCGGAGACCGGGAAAACCGGAACCGGGAACCGGAACGGAGCGGGAGAAACCGGAACCAGGAACCGGGAACCGGGAAACGGGAGCGGACCGGGAGCCGGGCCCGGGGAGCCCCGGGATGAGGCGGCGGCGCGGGGACCCGGCCCCGGCCGAGCCCTGCGGGGTGTGGCTGGACACGGCGGAGCTGAAGCGGGGCCCGGCGCCGGTGAGGACCGGAGGGACCGGGCCAGCCCCGGGAACACCGGGAGGGACACCGGGAACACCGGGAGGGACACCGGGAATAACCCCGGGAGGGACACCGGGAACACCGGGAGGGACCCCGGGAATAACCCCGGGAGGGACCCCGGGAATAACCCCGGGAGGGACACCGGGAACACCGGGAGGGACACCGGGAACACCGGGAGGGACACCGGGAACACCGGGAGGGACACCGGGACCCCCGGGAGGAACCCCCGGAGCTCCCTCCACCCCCGGTAATTCTGGGATTCCCGACCCAAATGACCGATGCTTCGGTAATTATCAATCATTGTTAATTAACGGTTATTATTAAATGACTTGTGCAGCTTTATGAAGGTGGGAGCTGCGGAAGAGGGGTGGATTGGTTGATTTTATATTGGTTGATTTTATACTGGTTGATTTTATATTAATTTTAATATTTTTACTGGTTGTTTTTATATTAATTTTAATATTTTCTATTTGCTGTTTTTATGTTAATTTCAGTATTTTATAGTGGTTGTTTTTATATTAATTTTAATATTTTCTATTGTTTTATATTAATGTTAATATTCCATATGGGTGGTTTCAGTGTTAATTTCAATATTTCCCCTTGCTCCCGCAGCCCCCGAGCTCCGGGCTGAAAGCGCCGCGTTGGAAGCGGAGCCCGGCGCTGCCCCCGCAGCCGGGCCGGAGGCAGAGCTCCATCCGCTCCTTCCTGCGCCCCCTCGCAGGTACCGGCACCACCTGGGCTTTTATGGAATACTTTCAGAAGCAAAACTTGGATTTTTGTGAAATAGATTCAGAAGCAAAACTTGGAATTTTTATGAAATAGTTTCAGAAGCAAAACTTGGATTTTTGATGAAATAGTTTCAAAAAAAAAACTTGGATTTTTTAATGAAATAAGTTTTAGAAAAAAAACTTGGAATTTTTATGAAATAGATTCAGAAGCAAAA